AGGTACTTACAAGCTTAGAGGCAAGGGATATGGTGTGCGTAATATTAATCTAAACGGTCTAAATGTCGTTTATCTAAAAATTAAGCCTTTCGTTAAGGCCTTGTAGTTTGGGCCTTTATGGGTTTTAAAAGCCTAATTAGATAGTGTTGGGCTCTTACCCAAACAATCGCCTATCATAGAATAAATTTTTGTTTTATGAAAATGGAATCTAAATAAAAATTCTAAAACTAAAAATTAAAAATAAGAACGGTAAACAAAATTCATAGGCAGAATGCACAAATCTATCTTGAAAGTATAATGACAGGGATTGATCCACTTCTGAATTAAAAAGGAGATAAATTTATCCATAAAGATTTTAACTTGAATAAATCATCTTAAATTTAATGTGTGATATCATCTGACGTTAATAATCTGTTAATGACATAACAAATTAATGGATTGTTAATATCAAATGACATCATACGTTAAAATTAGGGTAATTTATTCAAGTCGAAAATTTTGTGGGTAAATTTATTCTTATTTTTTATTTAGAGATAAATCCGTCTCTACTTCTATACTTTGGAGTAAATTTGGGTATCTTGTCTTTACCAACCAATTTAATTCCGTTATTAAATTAAATTAAAGCAAACTTTGGTCTTGGGTGTTCACTATTTAATGATGTATAATGACAAATAACGCACTTGCTTATGGTATGTGGATGAGTAAATCTAGGGTTGAGCACTGAGTACGAATATATTTGATATTTGTAAGTACCTAATTTATTTAGATAAATATTTTATTTGTATATGTGAAGAGACAATTAAATACCAAATATAAAAATACATATATGTTAAGTATCAAGTAAATATTGCATACAAGAGTCAATACTTACATATCTAAACTGTATATATGACGTATATAATTGACCTATATATCTAATCCATATACCTAACTTATATACTTGATTTATATACCTAACCAATATATTTAATTATTTTTTATAATATTATACATATCATTAATATCTAAAATTATAGTCACCACAAGAAATAATAAATAAATAAATACTTTACAAAAAAAATAAAAAATAAAAAAGTGTGTCACTCTTTTAGTGACCCCTAAATAGCCTTTCTAATTTCCAGTTTTCTAGAATTGTCTTCAATTTCAACCGTCTTCTACGACCGAATGTCAGGTTCCAAGAATTTGTGCTATATATATGAATTTATAGTTATATATTAATTTATGTATTTTTAATGTAAATTTAATAGATATATAAATATATATGTTAGTATGTCTATACCCAATAAATTAGATAATGGATATAAATTTTTAATATTTAGTGTTAGGTATTAAAATCTTATACTTATCATGTTCAAGTCAAATATAAATATAAATAAATACCTAATCTATACATACCCATGCTCACCCTAAGTATATCCGCGCAACTCTCTTCATAGCATGGAATGATGTTATTTTAACTGGTGGACACAAAGGTAAGGTACACATGATCCAGCGAACGATAAAATCTCCAAATAAAACTCGATCCCTAATACTAATCATAACAGGCTCCAAGGAATATGCCATCTCAATAAAGTATTGCAATAGCCAAAAATAAGAGTAAGCTAGTAATTCCAGTCCATGCTATCCTGTCAGCAGCTCCACCATCGTTTCCGGCTTGCCCTGTACGAATTTCGGATGTTGTTATAAAGTACAGAAACATAACTCATTTATGTACATGAGCTAACTTGATACTATGTGTAAATATAAAATTTTAAAATTAATTTTTTTAATAAATTATAATTATTTACATGTATTAATTAGATGATAAAAAAAAAGATTATATAAAATTTAAACACACAACCTACAAAAATAAATGACCCTAACCCTGAGTCAGAACATACTATTTAAAATTTTAAAATTAATTAATAACATATAAAATAAAATAACATATATTTAAAGAACAAAAATTTTTCTTTAAGTTATCTATGTGGAATTTTTCAACTTTAAAGGGAGGATTAGACTGCGATTGGATTATTTAGAAAGAACAACCATGTGGGAGGCACTAAGAAACTGTCCAAGAAAGAGAAAAAAATCTTCTAAGTGCTCCATGCCACATGTGAACGATCCACAACTAAGGTTGGGAAAATGTAGCTTATCTTTTTGACATTTGATTCCAAGACCCAACAAGAGTGACTTTTTCCGGCAATTATGCTATATATATATATTTCTTTCAACTTAAGAATTGATGAAGCAGACTTCTTTTTCTCCACAGCATTAATAATTCTCAACAATCAAGTAGGGTTTGACAAAATTGTTTCTTTTCGCCCAGGGAACGTCAAAAGCAAGCATGCTTTTCATAGAACATTGTCTAAGCAACGGAAGCATCCAATGGCTAACTGGCTGACATCCCCAGTAGGCTTGGCAAAAATTCACCTCATCCGTCAACCCGATCTTAACTCAACTAATAAAAAATAAGTTAGGATTTACATATCCTAACCCATAATCATAAATAACCCATATTATCAACTCGTATAAATCATGAATCGAGTTAGAGTCAACCCGTGAGTTAACGGGTTGACCCATTTATTTTATTTATTATTATTATTTTTAAATATTATACTTATTATTCTTAATTAATTTTTCTATTGATAACCTCTTCCATTAATTCATACTCCCTAATTTTTAGAAAAAGAAAAAACAATTATGATAAATTTGATCTAATTACCCAAGTATCATTTTTTTTTATATTAACAATTACTCAAGTATCGTAAATGAAATGATAATGCAACTAAAAATATTAAAAGATGCGATGTTAAAACATAAATATAATAACTTAGTGAAAGATGTCCTTAGAAGAGTAATTTCATTATTAAAAAAATAGATTAAACTACTTGATAATATTTCAAAATGATTATAAAATTAAAACTTTATTTTTCAAGAAATTTAAATATTTTACATTTAATATTTTTATTGTTAATCAATTTATTATTATTTATAATTTTTTTATTTTTTTATTTTTAATGTTTGTAATTGAAATTATAAAGTATTTAGTATTAATAAATAATAATATTTTAATTAAATTTAGATATATATAATTTTCTTTGTGTATAATAAAATTAATAAAAATAATTATAAAAAATAAAAATAAAATTAATCTGCGAGTTGACTCATAACCTGTTAAGATTAGATTAGGATTGAATGTTTCCAACTTACAACCTGTTTAAGTCGTCATCTGAATTTAATTCGACTCAAACCCAACTCAACATGTTCGTTTGTCAGTTCTAACTTCTGGACATCAAATAATCTAATTAAAAAAAATGTCTTGAATTTTAAGAACAAGAGCGGGTTCGATGAGTTGGTACGAGTGTATTTCAATTTAATTAAAGATTTTGATTTTAAAATTTAAAAATACACTTTTGTTGAAACTCGTGAGGGGCTTTGCAATTGGTTGGATCTTGTTCGGTTTAAATTTAGATTAATTAGTGACTTAATAGACTTCTGTTAGATCTTGTAAAAATTCAATCTACTTATTAATTAGATCTTAACTCGACTTTTAAAAAATGAGTTAAAATCTATATATTTCAACTTATAATTTATAAATAACTCATATTATCAATCTGTACGATCACGAATCGAGTTAAAATCAACTCACGGGTTAATGGCTTGATCTATTTATTTTATTTTTTGTTATTATTTTTAAATATTATACATATTATCTTTAATTAATTTTTTTTATTG